AACATTCTTATGTGGTTCGGTTTGCATGGGACGTAGACCTGACGATGTTCTAAGAAAGTTTGAAGTTTTTGAATGTAGTCTGTCCTGTCCAATACGAAAAGCTAACCCCAATATAGGTAGCAATGCATGATATGAAAATCAAAAACGAATAAGCCTGCTCTCATTTAACCCTTCATTTTATACGTATAGCTTCATTATGTCCATTTACGGCGGCATAAGTACACGCGAGTTGTCCTGATTGTATCTTCAGTCAGATTTCTATTTTCACAATTTATGCTTATGTCTTCCGAAAAACCTGGACAAACCACGTGCACAGAGTATAAAAGATCTACCATATAAGCTGTCTAAGTGACTTTTATGAAAAAAAATAAAAAAATATTCCTTCTCTGATGTCCAAACATGAGTCTCAACCCCAGGCCTTGAACCCGTCACTCAACGCGGGTTCCTTGAACTCTAGCGTACCCTTAAGGACCACCGGTCGATGTCTATTATAAGTAAATTAATTTTACGTTCTGATCCGTATTTCCTTAAGGTGACAGCGATCCAGCGGGGGAAAAACCATCCTCCTACGAATATTCCATTGGCGATCAGGTCTATGTAGGAAAGCACTCAGATCGTGTTGGAGTTGTCGCCTTTATAGGAACCACACAGTTTGCACCTGGGGAATGGATAGGTAAGAATATTCTTCGAGTAAATAATCGTCTTTTGATTTTCTCTAATACAAATTCTACTAAAGCACAGCTAAATCCTGCATCCTCTGGACTGCAGACAGAGTATCAGTCAGCGTTTGGGCCGTCATGACCCGTTCTTGCCGGCGAATTTGAGGGATTTTGCACGCTAACTAAACCAACACCGAGGAAGAACATGCACCTATACTACAGTAATGCAAATAATGTCATTATAAATTATTATCCGAAGCTCGTAAGGTAATTTAAAAGGGCTGGTCGTGTATACTCACATCATGGTTTTGCTGTCGACCTGTTGCTATACCTGCTGTTTTAAATTTTGACGGCTACCAACCACAAAGTTATTAGACTTTGCGACTTGGTTCTCCTGTCTGAGGTTTAGTACTTTGTGGACGCTATAAACTGAGTTTATCGCGATCTCGATGAGGGAATAAATTTCTTGAGAAGTTAACGAGTATAATCTGTCCGTCTTCGAATAGGTGCCTTACTGTACAATATAAAATTGTACTCATCTGTCAGATTATTGTATGCGTCGTTTACATCAGGGTCCCAGTTGTGCGAACTAATGCTGACGGAGGCGGCTGGCCTCAAGTAAACTGTTGTATAGTCGAATCTGCGAATATTCAGCGAACACAAGTGACCGAAGTGATCGTTTTATCTTTATTTATGGTTATTTTTGGCATTCGTATTTCAACCTAATTTCTAGTGTCTAACCGAGAGACTTTAAACTTATTTCCTGTCTACTGAAATCAGAGGCATTGGTAACCGCACAGGAGGTCCCTTCTCCATACCACTTCTGTTTTTCCCACGGAACTTCAGTCGCAATCCCAAGTAGGCTGTCACTTAGTTTTAAAACCGAGTTAAAGTCCCTGGTGTTGGCTTTACGAAGTCAGAGCCTGCCTGTCTGACGACGGCAACCAAACCGTTTATAAAACGATCCCTAGGTCATGGTGGTAACACTTCTCCATGAGATTAAAACATAAATATAAGCCATAAGCTCCACTATTTGTATTGTTAGCGTAGCACACATTAGACGTGCTACATGTTCCAGTTCAATGTTGTTTGAATCAGGCAGGCCTTTTGCAGGAACCAACTAACCGGCATACTTAATTACAATGCAATAAGGCTGACTTCTAGCCGAGTGTCTGCCTGAATACTTGAAAATTGCATGACGGTGCAATCAAGGCGCCAGACCCAGCGAACGATATCGCCAATAGATGTTATAGCTCAACTATTCGTTCGTGATCTGTCATTCTTTTTAAGTTCTCTCTTCCGGACTCAAATCTCACTAACTACAGTTATCCGTTTATCCAGGCCACGCAGCCGCCTGTGTTTCGTTTTCGAACTTTTCCACTGAAAAACTGGTCATTTATTCGGTCGATGTTACCAAGAGCGAAAACCTCCGGACTTTCGATAGTTAACCTTCCTGTAAGAACTGCGGTTGTGGTTATGTTTCTA